AGCATTGCAGATGCTCTGTAGGCTAGGTCACTGCAGCAACTTGTCCATCTGTCCTCTGTAAATAATGCAAATAATATGCCCTGCTCCATTGTCCTGCTGTGTAGATACTGCACAGTGTGTTAGCCATCTGTGCATCTCTGAGACTCGTAGACAGAGGGGATGTTTTGGAGAGCAGATTGAGGGAAGTATATACTTGAATGCTCCAGTAATGGAGTATTCTCTGGCATTTCTATGTCTCTGCTAGAGGGACAACTCGGTGACATTCAGTCCCTGGCACTGAAGAGCTGGAGGCTATAGTTTTCCCAGAACTTCTGAACCAAGGGCTGAAACAAGAGGAGTGCTGATATTAATTGCTGGGAGTTGTGTGAGCCTTAGGGAATACTTACAGGGGCTGAGAGTCTGCCTCTCAGTGGTTGAAAAATTCTAGCTGTTTCTATCTTGGCCTTATTAAATGCTTTTTGATTTTATGCTCTAGGAAGGTAATGTATGATTTTCCCCCTTTTCTTCCTCTCCTACACAGCGCAAGAGATGACAGAGGTCTGGAAGGGAATTCCTGCATGTTGATTTTCTACAGAAATCTACCTCTTTTACTTCTCTTCAAATGTTTACTTGTTGTAGCCGTTCCCTTGTTTGTGTTTGAGAAAGTTTAAGGCCATGACTCCCAAATTTATGTCATGTGATTTACCAGCTTTTTACCAGATATGTGTTGTTAGGGTATCAAGATTTACTTTTTCATTAAATATCTGAGCGATATACTCCAGAATTTCCCCATGGAAGATCTTACAAGAAAGAACACTGGTATGAAGACAGAGTGGGGAAAGAGATGAAACCCAGGGTGCAAAGATCAAGAGGCTCTGAAAGTTTGTAGCCTAAACTACCTTGTGAAGTTAAAAGGATCACTGAACAAACTAAAGAGATGAAGCTAACAGGATCACTGAACAAACTAAACAGGCTTCTGGTGTGTCAGCGTTTCTGAATGAGAAGTTGTCATTAGCCCTCGATGTAGCTGTCCTTGCTAAAGGTAACTTGGTAAATGACCTTTTGCTGAGCTGGTTCTTGTACAATTTCAGGTGTAGCCCCTAAAGATGTCTCTATGCTTTTTTATGCATTAGAAAGCTAACATTCATTTCCTGGTCCAAATCTCCCAAGGGTATTTTTATTCTCCATTAACATTCCTTCTTGGGGATTGAATTCGGGTCCTTTGCTTCCTGCCCTGTTCCTGTTCAGATGTTAATCAGCTGTTGCATTCTATTCCAGTTACGTATTAGCAATGTTAGTGTTTCTTGGGCAATGTTGACCTGTCCTGGCTTTTATGAAAGGGTTAGGAAAGCTAAGCTACTTAACACAGCCAAGAGTGGATTATAAAATGCATAGTTAAGGGTATGGAGTGCAGTTGAATTAGGGGGACTGAGATCTTTGGATTGTGGAAGGAGGGAACAGGACTGTAAGAGAAGTGTGATTCCAATAACTTTTAAGAGAATTCTGCATGGTGCAGTGGGTATGACAGATACATGATATGTCCTGTGGTATTTCCATTCAACAAGAACTATGTACAACTGGAGTCCAGGGATTTCATTTTCTTTGGAAATGTGTTAGGTGTTAAGTAGAGCTTGTTACATGGACTGTTGTTCAACAGCTAGCCTGATCCCTTTTTCTTGATAGCTCTTGGAATTGTTCCCACGCAGGCAACAGAGGTTTCTGCCTAACAGTCAAGGTTAATTGGTATGGAAAAGCAAGAATGAGCAATAATCCTTCTGAAACTCGATTTTAATCCAAGAGTCACTATAATGCTATTACTCAGATCTGAATCGTGAGCATTAACCTACAAGCAGAACTGTGATGTGAGTCTCTGCAGTAGGAGCTGTCATCCTTTACTTTTAAAATGAGCTTCAAAGAAGCCAGCAGCAAAATGGATCGGAACGTTCTTTTAATTGAGATGCCTTCTCTGAATGAAAAGATCTCTCTTGTTAAATGTTAAAGTGCCCTTTAATAACCTTACAGTCCGTTCCCATTGTACCTGGCACCAGCAACCTACAGGTGCTTTTTTTAACTTCACACAGCTTGCTTTTCTGTCCTGGACAGACATCCCTTGATGCAGTTATTGCATCATCCATCTCATGGATTAGTTGTCTTGGTCAGGCTTACCGCAGTAGCTTCTCACAAAGTCTGGCTTGAGACTTGTGAAAGCTAAGGTTACCTTTATCTGTAAGCACAGGAAGGTAGCTGGACAAGGCTCTCTTGCTTCTGCTTCTCCTGATGCTGGTGAGGAGACGTGAACTAAAGCAGGCTGTATAAAGTATTCTGTATTGGATATGCATGCAGAGTATAGGTTGGCCCACAGAGTGTGAAAACTCTGGGTTAACCATATTGATCAGATATGTGGCACAGGACATTTGGGTTTTTTTTACTTGGGTGTATTGCACTTGCAGGTTTTTGGAGTACACTGACTGTGATAGCCACTACAGAATCTTTCTGTAGTGTTGCATTAGAAACAAATACAATTGTGCTATGAAATTTATTTTCTCAGTCATACATGTTTAGCCATCTGAATAAAAAGCAAAGATAAAGAAATGCTGCTTTAAGAGGAATGCTTCCTTTAAGAGGAAAAGAGAAAAAGATGATACAGTGCCTGAAATAAGAAACGTTCTCTGGACCATAATCACCATATTTCTGTTGAGGAAGTGAAGCTGCTGCTTGTAAGGTCAGAAAAGGCAACAGAAGAGAAGCTGATGTCGAGGAAAATCCTGCAAGTCCTCTACCTCTTTGCAGAGAATGTTCACAGCTGCTGAAACAGCAACCAGGCAGAAGCTGTGTGCATCCTAAAACCAAAGTTAAGTATTAGCTACCTCAGGCCTCAAGGGATTTGCCAAATATCAGGAAGACAGTAGGTGCCTGCAAATGTTGCCTTCTAATTTTTTTTCTTATTCTTTCCCTTTTTGTCCAAAGCATTCCTTTTTGGACCTTTTTTCTCTGCTGTGAGACTCTTTCTTGTTACTGGAGACAAAATGATGCTCAGGGGTAGTGTTGTGGTTTTGTATGCATGCCAAGTGGCTGTTTATTCTGTACAGGGCCCACAGAACTGTCTCGAGCAAATCTGTGCTAGATGACATCTGTTTCTGTTGTGTGGCAAAGGTTTTTCCATTCTCAGATCACACAGAGAACATAGCTGCTCTGCAAGTGGATTTTACATTGAGGGATGCTTTCTGGTAAAAACAGCTGGAGTCAAGTTTGTATGCTGCCTCTGCAGCTGCACTCTGCCACTATGTCGTGGTTTAATCCCAGCTGGCAACTAAGTACCACACAGCTGCTTGCTCACTCTCCCCCCGCTCCCAGTGGGATGGGGAGGAGAACTGGAAAAAAAGTAAAACTTGTAGGTTGAGATTAGAACAGTTTAATAATTGAAAAAAAGTAAAATATAGTATTAGTTGTAATGGAGAAAGGGAGAGAGGAGTAAAACCCAAGAACAACAAGTGATGCACAGTGCAGTTGCTCACCATGCGCTGACCAATGCCCAGCCTGTCCCTGAGCAGTGATCAGCCCCTCCCAGCCAACTCCTCCCAGTTTATGTTCTGAGCATGACACCATATGGTATGGAATATTCCTTTGGCTAATTCAGGTCAGCTGTCCTGACTATGCTCCCTCCCAGCTTCTTGTGCACCTCCTCACTGGCAGAGCGTGAGAAACTGAAAAGTCCTTGAGTTAGTGTAAGCACCGCTTAGTAGCAACTAAAACATCAGTATGTTGTCAACATTATTCTCATCCCAAATCTGAAATGCAGCACTGTACCAGCTACCAGGAAGAAAATTAGCTTTATCCCAGCTGAAACGAGGACACACTGTCACTGCACTCCTTCACTGGGAAGAGGAAAGAGGCTGTGCATGTTTTGTCTTTGTGAGGGGGTGAAGGAATCCTCAGCTTTTTGCATTACCAAAGCAAAATGTTAAGTTTACACTGCAGTTTTCTGAGCCTTAGAGTGTACATGTGTGTCTGCCTGGAAGATGTGACTAATGCTCATTGGGTGATCACTGTGAGCCTTGTAGCCCTCAATGAGCCATTCCAGTGAAGCTGTAACTGCCAGTGAGTTTAGAAATCAGACTGGAACTACAGTAGGGAAGTAGTGGGTAAGCTGGAAGAGTAGAACTGGAGCTACTGCAGGCAATAGACTGCTAGGAAGAGGACTGTAAATGCTAAGTAGCATTACTGATGAGAGGTGGAAAAGACAGATAATAGGAACCAGAAGGTTGAATTTCATCTTGTATTACAGTGCTAATTAGAATAGCTGAAGAGCTGCCTCCTGCTGTAGCTCCAGGCTAAAATTGAACTTCTACAGGGTAGTCATAATGTGGACTTGACAGCAAGCTCCTTCAGAGAGAGGCTTGTGGATAGCACAATGAGCAGAACTGGTGCCTTCTTCTATTTATGGATATTACCTATATCCATTTCTGCTTTGGAGCACAAGGTCCATCTGTTCTGCAGAGAATATCTGCTCTACTTGTAACAGAGGTGTGGTGAATTGAACCACTCCAGGATTCTCTGTCTGTGGTAGCAAGGGATGCTCAGGTATTGTAGGCAAGGAGGTCTTTACTGTGCTGTTCTGTGCCAGGATATCTGGAGAACAAAAATAGATTGGTGTGGCAGAGTGATTGGAGCAGAATGACAAAGGCTGGATTCTTGGTGTTGGACAGGAATGTGTGTGGGGAAGCAGGGACCCCTAGAGACATCTAGAAAAAACAGCTGCCTTTCCAAGGTCAGTTACTGGTCTGCACAGGTATCCTGCTCAGTGGAGAGATGGCTAGAAGGCCTTTCCTTTCTGGGATACAGTGAAGATATGAGGCTTTTACCATGGAGGGACCTGGCATTAGATAGTGGCCTGATGGTGCAGCAGTTTGCTGTTGACTTGTGCCCTGGCACCTGGCCGTGGGTTGCTCTGCGCATGCCTGGTTGTTTTCATGTTTTGTGCTATAGGTGACTGACACCAAGTTTCCTTTCTCATGTTTCAGGAGCTGTTGGCCAGATGCTGCTGGATGCTGACAGGGGAAAGCTGATTTGGAGGCAAGCGACCAGAAATGTTTGGACACGTCGTGGTCGTCACTTTGCATCTGTAAGTCCTTGTTTGAGGGAAAGTTGCCTGGAGGCACTGTGAGTTTTTTAGTCTTTGGAAATTCTCAGATCATGAGGGTAGGTTTCAAATCCAGTTATATTTTCTGGGTAAGTCAGGATGAGATGGCAGGTAGCATAGTTGCTGCCTTTGGGGTAGGAATTGGGACAGTCCTGTTTTAGCCTGAGGAACTGTGTGCTGAGAGACAGGGAGGCCTTTGACGTGTTCGTTCTGAGCACAGCTGCAATGGAAACATGGGTGCAGCTGTTCCTGGAAGCCTCTGTTTATCTGCCAGCCCATGTGGCTGATGGTTATGCCTCGATGCTGCTGGGAGTTGGTGGAAAAGCAGATTCAAACTATGCTGGCCCGGTCCTTCCTGGAGGTTCCCGTTCTCCCTCTCTCTTTCTCCCCCCATACTTTACAGTTTGCCCCACAGAGCAGTTATGCTGCTGTGAAGCTGTTTTCCCCTGTGCTAGTTGAGACCCGACTATGGCATTATAGTAAGGAAAGGGGCCAGACAGCTTGTTGGGACAGGGCCAGCAACTTGGGCACCTCTTCAGTTTGTTTTGGCAAAGTTTGAGTTTGCGTGGTCCTGATTGCCTGCCTGTTCCATTCACCTTCAATCTGACTCTCCCTGTGCATGTACAACTGCTCCACACCCTGCGCTCCAGTCCCACCTCCCAGGGCTTGGTGCCATTGACAAGGGAAAAGTAGCACAGCAGAAGTGCATCAGGGAAAGGAGGGCTTTACTGCAGTCTCTTTCATCTCAGTGGCAGAGGGGTAGCCACAGAGCTACACTCTTGCAGCTGGCTCCCAGAGTAGCTCAATTCTCTTCCTGTATTGATGGGTACCTGTTGTGGCTTGATCCCAGCTGGCAACTCAGCACCACACAACTGTTCACTCACTTCTCACCCCTCAGTGGAATGTGGAGAGAATGAAGAAAAAAGTAAAATTTGTGGGTTGAGATACAGACAGTTCAATAGGACAGAAAAGGAAGGGATAATAATGAAAGAATTGGAATGCATAATGCAATTGCTCACCACCTGCTGACCAATGCCCAGCCAGTTCCCAAGCAGTGGCCCTTGCCAACTTTTCCCCTTGTTTATATACTGAGCATATGCTCAGTATGCTGACACCATATGCTATGGAATATCAATTTGGACAGTGGGGGTCAGCTGTCCTGGCTGTGTCCCCTCCCAGCTTATTGTGCCCCGCAGCCTACTCGCTGGTGGAGTGGCGTGAGAAGCTGAGCAATCCTTTCCTTACTGTAAACACTGCTTAGCAACATCTAAAACATCAGTGTGTTATCAACACTGTTCTCATCCCAAATCCGAAGCACAGCACTGTTTTAGCTACTAGGATGAAAAATAACTCTATCCCAAACAAAACCAGTACACTACCCAAAACCAGTACATATACCCAAAGCAGGGGCTTTGAACAGAGAAGAAGGTTGTTTCTGAACTTGTGTTGTGTCCCTGGTTGCCTGGATAAGATTTTACAGAAGCCTTTTAGCAGCAAGATAGAGTTTGACATGCTTGATGGAAGTCAGAGGGTAGCTTGCCTTCGTCTCTTGTGGAGGTGTGGGTTATCACAGCTGTAGGCATGAGGATGTAATGTTTTGGCTTAAATAAGAGCGTAATAATTGCCAGCTTAGTTGTGGGTGAGAAGTACCGACTTAAAAGGATGAGTGAGGTAATCGTTAGCATTACCAAACTTCTGTACTGACAGCTTCACAGTTAGCATCCCTCTGCAGTGGCGGGGAAGATTATCTGGGAGGGGGTCCCATTCTATAGGAGATTTGGTTAGTCCTTCCTGGAACCAAGTTTCCTTGAAGCTATTGCTTCATGAATTTTGAGTCTGTGTGGTCCCAGTTGCCTGAGTGCCTTGAACATGTCCTTGCCAGGTGCCTTTCCAGCTCTTGCTGGGCTATGTGGCCAACTATTCTAAGTTCATTTTCTTTACATTCAGAAGATCCGATGTGGGTTCGGGCAGGTACCTGGAGCGAGGTGGCCATCCAGTTGTCCTTGGTTATAAATATTCCCTATTCCTTACATATTTCAAAGTGTGGTTTTTTTGTGGTGGATGCTAAGCTTTTGTTTCTCTTCTTCAGGGCATCTGAGTGAGTGTCCCTGCTTCATGCGGCTTCAAATTTGAGCCCAGGCTGGTAAGTGCTCACATCCTTAAGAACTAGAGAAACGATTGTGATTTCAGCTTGGATACCTCCATGCACATTTGCTGTCCCTAGAGTGTCAGGAATTGACAGAAGGGTTCCCTAGTTCACCTCTTTGATGGTGAGGTGTTTACAAACCTGCTTCTAGTCAGGTTTTCAGCATTTCTCTTTGAAAGAAATGTCTTCCCAGCAAAGCAGAATATCTGTTTTGCTTGGGGATGCAGTGAAATGTGATTCAGTATGCTGGATGTGGTTTTTCTAAAGTATTAGAGACCTAATACTAAACTAATACTAAACCATGACAGGTAACCATCAGTACAAGAAGAGAATTGGGTTACTCTGGGAGCCAGCTGCAGGAGTGTAGCTCTGTGGCCACCCCTCTGCCACTGAGATGAAAGAGACTGCAGTAAAGCCCTCCTTTCCCTGATGCACTTCTGCTGTGCTACTTTTCCCTTGTCAATGGCATCTACCTGAGCCTTTTCAGCAGAAGGGACCTTGAGGGAATGACTGCAGCAAGGGGAAGTTTCCAGCATTTTTATGGGGGAGATGTACAGGTTAGTCCTAGGAAGTTGTTCGTGTTTGTGGAAAGGTGTGAGAAACTTTTGTGAGCTTGTATTTGTGGCAGGGTGAAGGACAGTGTGCCCATGTCTCTGTGAAGTGACTGTTACGGCTTGGAGCCAATCTGTGCTTGATGCACACCTCACACTTGCCAGTCCTCTCAGGGGGCTCAGTCTAAGTGTCAGCAAGTTGCAGCTAGGTGAGAGTGGTTAAGAATTGGAGAGAATTCTTGGGGCTCTATTAGTCTCTTAACCTGTAAAACTCCACTGTCCAAAACACAAAACAAGTGAAGCCTGATAGGTCACTGGCCCAGTGGTATCCATTGACTCCAGGTATGTGACTGGGAGTTGCATGGCCCTGCTTGTAGAAGAGGGGAGAGAGTGTGCTCTGAGTTGATGCGGGTTCTGCACTTTGAAGTGCTGCAGATCAGGTGCTGAGGATTGCAGAGATACTAGGCTTGATCAGTGTTAGGATCCTGCAGGGAAAAGGGAATGAGAATTGGGCATTTACTCCAAGTATCAGGCAACTTTGAATGATGGCCTGTGTTACCATCGAGAAAAGGCTCTGCAGCACCTACTTGACATCTCCAAGAGTTCTTGTGTACAACAGGGTAGTTGAAATTCTGGCTGCTTGCAGGGAAGTCTTCCTGCCCACTACTGCAGACCCAAAGAAGTAGAAAGAAAGGTGTTTCTTCCATGTGTACAAGATAGCTGCTTTTCATCTACCCTATTTTTTGCTCTTGTACTGCTCCTGTGGCAGAAGAATCCTGCCCAGCATGGCTGGGGTAGAGGAATTAATCTTCCCACTAGTAGGAAGACTGCTGCATGTCTATATACACTTAGTGCACTCTAAGGGTGGTGAGGCACTGGAACAAGTTGCCTAGAGAGATTGTGGACTCCCCATCCCTGGAGGTATTCAAGGCCAGGCTGGATGTGGCTCTGAGTAACTTGGTCTAGTGACAGGTTCCCTGCCTGTGGCAAGGAATTGGAAGAAGATGATCTTTGAGGTCCCTTCCAACTCAGGCCATTTTGTGGTTCTGTGTTCCGAAACCTGGCCTTAGAAACTAACACGAATGACACTGTTCCCTAATTTGATGCCACCTCTGACTTGGGGGTTGTCTTTGTCTTTTCTGACAGAGTGAGCAGTTCTGTGGTACCTCTTTCTGACAAGTCTCCTGTGGTCTGCTGCACTGGGGCTCCAGTGTAAACCAAAAAGTTCTGGGTTTGGGCTCTTTAATGGCTGAAGTCTCCTCCCACATAGTCCCTGCTGACAGTGAGAGGACATGATCAATAACTCCTGCTCCAGCTGTCACTGCTGCCTGTGAGGCTTGCAGTTTCCATATTGAAAAAGGCCTTTCCTAAAGAGCCTAATCAATATGCTGCTGTGAGGTCTGTTCTCATTTGCTATATATAATCCGGACACACACAAACTACGTGAGTGAGCGTGTGTAGAGGGGGGAGAGGATGTGCCAGCCCTCTGCTCTCACTGGCTGGGAGAAGGACACAGCTACCTCTTACTTTGCTCCCTTTCCTGCAGCTGCTGTTCAAGGCTTGTGGCTACATCCTTTCTGTGCTCTATTAGCACTCTGCATGGGGATGTGCTCTGGGACTCCAGGGGAGCTGAATTCCTGCTGGGTCACTCATAGGGTTCAATGGAGCACCCGTGACTCTCTCTTCTGTGCACTTTCTGCTGTTGGTAGGTAACCCGCTTTCAGAGCCGCGCAGGTGGGAGGATGTCGAGCACAGCTCCGTCAAAGAAGCCTTACCGCAAGGCGCCCCCGCAGCACCGCGAAATCCGCCATGAGGTACCCATCATTCGTGACGACCAGGACGGAGTGATCTTGGCTGAGCAGAGTCAGGTAACAACTTGCCGGGTGACAAAGGGCTTAACACCATTGCACCAGCAAACAGGGTTTAGTTACACCAAGGCAGGCCAGCTCGAGCAGGCAGAGGGGTTTGAGGTTTGCAACCTGAACTTCTCCTCATCGTGGTCCCTGGAGTCCAGCAGTGAGAAGGAAGTGACAGGGTGCAGAGCAGAGTTGAACATCAAGAGCCAGACTGTCTCTCCAGCACTTCCACGTAGTGGGAAGATGGGGCAGCGAAGCGGGAAGCGATGCCCAAACCGCAGTCGTGGGCACCGCAGCAAATTTGTCAGCCGTAGCATGGAGACAGTGCTGGTGTCTGGAGATGAAAGACACCATCCCACTTGCTCTTTCAAGAGCAGAAGCCTGGAACGCTCACTTATATTTAAAGAGCCTCCTGAAGTCCTGACTCCGAGGAAGTTTCGTGTCTCGTCTACACACCTGCCTCTCAAAGGGATCCTGAAGCAGACCAGCATGACAGGCTCGTGTCCTGAGAGCTTATGCAAGTCCCGCTCAGTAGAGACACTTTGCCATGGCCATGGCTCACACAAGTACAGTGATCCTCAGCTCTGCCTCAGCCCTAGGGAGAAGCGCTCCCTGGAGCACAGCAGCAGCAGTGCCGCTGACTCTGTCAAGCGCAGGGAGAAGATCACAGAGCAAAAACTGCAGTTCTCCAAGTTCCTGGATGAGATTACCCAGCGGGTGCTGAGTCCCAATCGCTTGCGCTCACTGGGAGAGACTAGGGGAGCAGCACAAGACCAGAACTCTTCCCTTTTCCCCAGAAGCTCCATGCCAGAAGGCCAAGGGGAAGGTCACCTGCAAGGGGGCAAAACCAAGCATGCAACTGAAAGATCCCCCTACCCAAGCAGAAGAAAAACAGAAAAGAAATGTGAGGGACTGGGAACGGCTTCGGGCCTGAGAAAGTGTGCTGAGGAAGCTGGGAGAGTTTCCAGACTAAGAAAGAAACCTGTCCTTGGGAGAAAGGACAGTAAGGGAAAACTTTCCTTGGAGAGAAGGGTAGTAGATCTGTGTCAGTATGAGCTGCAGCAGCTGGCAGACCTGGGGCTGGCAGGGACATCCTCTGGGCAGCAGCATTCACTGTCTTCATGGAAAATCAGTGCAGAGGGCAGAAGGGATGAAAGCAGTCCCTGTTCACGGCTGTTACAGCCACACCATCAGTGTGCTAAGCTTGGGCAGAAGCGTGCAGTGGAGCCGAACTACCCAGAGAAAGGATCCTGCTCCGCTCCAACACACTGGAGTCGGGAGGAGGGGCCTACCCCATCTAGGTCCTCCCCTTCATTCAGCCTGGCACTAAACAAGGTAGGTGCCAGGGTCACCGGCTTGCAGACAGGGGTCTCACAGAGGCCAAAGCCCCCACCTGGATTTCATCTAGTCTGTAATGCCAGTGGGGAGAGTGAGAGCAGGGCCCCAGGCCTCATGTTGTGGGTGCTTAATCACCAGAAGCTGCTCTCTAGTGGGGGTGCCACTCATGGCTCTTCTACTGGTTGGGTGTATCTTCCTGGGTGTAACCAGCTTCCCTTTAGCCCCAGGAGTTAAGGAAGGTAGAAGCTGGTGCTGTTCTCCCTGCTGCAGACTTCCCAGGTGTTTGCTGGTTGAAGGCCCTTTAGGCTGTGGGGCAGTAGGTGTGTGCAGGAGGCAGGCAGCTCTGTTGTCAGGAGGGGCTGGGATGCTCCTGATGCTTTGTGTGTGCCCTGTGCCTGGCTGTCTTGGGGTACTGGATGTTGGCTATTCCAGGTCATGGATTAACACAGACAATGGAAAGGAAGAGAAAATAGCTGAGCTGTGTGCTCTTGGCACTACTCTGTGTCTCCTTGTTCTGCAGGGCCCTGTCCAGACATCTCTGGGGATCTTGCCCATAACGTTAATTTCTTTTACAGGCTTTTCTGACCTTTGGTGTTTCTTCTGCTGTCCCTAGTGGCTGGTTTGAGGTCTGCAGAAAGAAACCTTTTTCACAGCACAATCTGGGTGGTGTAAATGGTAGCCACATTTTTCAGCTCCCAAATGATTCTCTCTCATGCTTTTTGTGGGTCTTCAAGGCCCCCACAAGTGATTGCTGTGGTGAAAACTTAATCCCGTGTATGCTGGCCTGTGAGATTCCTGCTACCCACTAACTGTGGATGTGGAGGAAGCTGAAACACCAGCTAAGGTGATGATTTTACAAGAGGTGCTGAGATTACACCTTGGGAAGGTAAAGTTACCTAACTTGTGTGGTGGTTTCTAGTCCGGCTCTTCTGCCCTGAATCAGAACACAGGGTCTGTTTTGGTATCACATGGCTGAGCGGTGTGTGTACAGATTCTTGTAGCCTAGCATGACCTGTCAGAGCAGGTGAGGAGGAGTCACAGGTAGGGTCTAGCAACCAAGACTGCCCTTTAGGATAGTGTGAGAGACCAACTAGTCATCTGAAATAATCTCACAGCTGTTTTCTTCCTTGTGCAGGAACCCTTGACGGATGCAGAAAGGATGAAGTAAGTGTCCTGCTCCCCCTTTATGCCTGTCATACTGCAACTGTGTGGGTGCTGATTCCTCATATCCTGCCTGTGCCACCTGCACAGCAAGCTGACTGGATCTGTGGGCTCCTTTCAGATCTTCAGTCATCTTGGGGCCGTGTGGGCAGAGCTTTGGTCTGTGCCTTACCAAGCTCTGCCTTGCGTGTCCATCACTCTGAAAGAGGAGGGAACATAGACCCCCAGTGTAGGTGCAGGCAGAGGAGTTGGTGGGTGTGAAAGAAAGGTAGATGAAGTCTTTAATACAGGTGGAGATAGGAGTGCCTTTTTTAATCCTTGTTATTGTCCCGGTGTAAGCCACCAGAAGCAGTATGCAGAGGCCTGCTGCTGAGTGAGGGTGAGAGCTGAGCCCTTTGCTGGTGGTGCTGGGGGACACAGACAGCTGCTAGCACTGAGCTCCAGGACATAGTGAGGAGAAAGCTTGCACTGCCAGAGAGTAGCTGTGCTTCTGGGTTTCTCCAAGCAGCTGAGCACAAAGGAATGAAAAACAACAGGAAATACTTCTGACCATCAGACATGTCCTGGCTGGGGAAGAATGGAGCAGTTTGTGTTGCAGTGGGTTTGACCAGCAGCTGTAATCACATCTGTAAATGCACCCCACCACCTCTGCTTCTGGGCTTAAGGCTGTATGGATTCCTCTTTCCACCATGTATTAAAGGTGTGAGGGATTCTGGTTCAGGGGTGGAGAAAATGATTTTGCTCTTTTTGCTTTCAACTCTTGTAACCTGGACTGGGATAAATTATTGAGTGGTTTTCATTCATCAGCGAGGGACACTGGAGCTGCACAGCTCATCTGTCTAGCGGGCTTTATCCAAGCACTGTAACCTGAGAGGGATCTGGGAGCCATGGCTGGCCAGCTGGCATGTACTTCTTTGCCCCTACTCCAAGAGAGTTTGAGTGTCTGTCTCCTGACAGAAATGCACCTCTTGGTTCATGTGCCAGAGTCTTCTGACTGACAGTTCAGTTTCTGACTTCTCAGGGCTCCTGTGTGGTGTGTTGGGCCCTAGAGCAGAGGCAGTGGGGTGGGGTTGCTGGTGTGGAGTACCCCTTGTGCAACTCGGGGATACCTTGTTCCTGTTCCTGCCCCAGGCTACTGCAGCACGAGAATGAGGAGCTTCGGCGGCGGTTGACATATGTGACGAACAAAATGGAGGCGATGGAAAGGGAACTGGAGTCAGGTCAGGACTACCTGGAGATGGAACTGGGCCAGAACCGTGAGGAACTGGAGAAATTCAAGGACAAATTCCGTAGGTATGAAAAGGAAAACAAAAAAGGGGTAGAGTTAGAGATCCATCCCACTGAGGACTCCCTCAGCTGGTGTGAGCAGGCTGTGCCCTGTGGTTTAAATCAAAGGTATGCTGCATCCTCCAAGATGTGCACCCTCCGGACTGTAGGGAGAGGAGCTAAAGGCTCCACAACCATTATTTTCTCCAGGCTACAGTGTAGGAATGCTGCCAGCATGAGAGGCTGACAACAATTCTTCATCTATTGGATGTAAGGCAGGATCCAGCTTGGATGGTTAACCCACATGTGCAAATGAAGCCACTGATGGCTGCAAGGAAGTACATCACTGCTTTACCTGAAAAGTACCTCAGTTAAAAATCGGTGTCAATCACTGGTCATGTTCTTAGATATAACATAGTCCAGAGGAGTCCTCCAAAGTAATTTACGTCCTATCCTGCAAGATCCTTTCACCCAACCAGCTTCATCTTGCCTCAGCTTGGGGTCTGAAAGCCCTTACGTGCTAGAGGTAAGGCATAGCTAGTATGCCTGGTTGTCTTGGCACTTTAGGACTTTATGGAGTTCTGGAGTCGATGGTTTGCTTGGCAGCTGTGAAGGTGACTAGGTGCCTGTGATCCATTCCCATGCTTACAATCTTGTTTCTGTAGGTTGCAGAACAGCTACACTGCTTCCCAGAGAACCAATCAAGATCTGGAGGAGAAGCTGCATGCCCTGGTAAGTGCTATATTAAGTCACTATGGCAATGAGATGGAAGAGACCTGTTTGTTGGGAGTGGATGGGGGAAAGGGGTCCTGTCTTTACCCAGCAGATGTGGCAACGGGTGAGGGGTGAGATTCTGGCTGTGACCATCTACTCCCCATTCTAGCTGGTGTCATGAACTGTGTTTTTGATTTACTGAGCCCCTACTTGGTTGTGCACGTGAGCTGTGGTTCCTCACAACATAACTGCATGGTATTCCGTCATGTTGCTTCAGTCCCTCTCAAAATGCCAGGGATGTGTCAGCCAGTCTTGGGGTGGTCATCCTGGGAGGATGGGTGCAGTCAGAGCAGAGCCAATGTGCGTGTATGTCTGTTGTGTGCATTCATAACACTCATGGCTGTTTCTTTTCTCTCCCTCCCCCTCTCTCTCTCTCTCTTTCTCCTCCCCACGCTGCCGCTGGCACACGCTGGGTGCACTCACCTCTCAGGCCTCTCTCAGCCAAAGCTGGATTTTTGCAGTTGCGTCTTTTCGTTTGTGTGTTTTTTCTTTTTCCTCTTTACGTGTCTCAGCCCGTTGGTTTCATTGTCAGTCCCACATAACACCATCCCAGATGGAGGGGCCCCAGCCCTCGTCCAGCCAAGGGCTCACCTGGTATCCAGCAGCTGCCCGCAGATGTAGCAGGTCCTAGCTTGCAGTGCTCCATCTTAAGAGTGTTTGACTCTGAGCCAGCTGGAGCATGGCGTGTTGGGAAGTGGTGCCCATAAGCTGCGGCACTGCACAAGATGTGGATGGCTGTGAGCCTCGTTTGCTCCCTTTCCTTCCCCTTCTGGGCTGTGAGCAGGCAAGTCAAATAGCTGAGATGGTGATTGCCTCTGTGTAGCCCAGGGTGAGATTTCTTTGGTTCTAGGACTTGAATTTCTGGAGTTAATATTCATTACCCAATTATTTATTGTGCTGGTGCCTGAAGAGACTCCATATTCAGGAAGTATTTCCTCTCCTACCCCCCTGTGTGTCGTTGTGCTTTACCCCTGACACACAGCTGGGCCCTGGTGGTCATAGCCTCGCAGCACCCTTGGCCAGTTTGGAAGAACTCCTTGAGACAGTGATGGCTTGGAGTTGTTGCCCCTCTTTGCTGTTACATCTGGGTCTCTTATCTGCTCTGTATCTAAACTGTTAGGAAGTTTAAAGAGATTGCCTGCTTTAAGGAGGTCATTAGTTGAACTCCAGATGATGCTACACAAGTCTTTTTACTTACTAGAGCAAGGCTTTAACTCTTTCAAGATGGTGCCTTCCTTCTGCAAAAAAAACCTTTTTATCCATTCAGCATTGACTGCTGGATCTTTCTGGGCAGTATTCTTGTTCTACTGCCCCAAGGAAGATGGCTGGGTATCACAAGCTCAGAGGTCTTTGCTAGCAGTGGCAGGTTGGGATTGACTGCTCAAAACCACTAGCTTTCTACCAGGCACCACGGGAACCAGGACAGAGGGGAAACATGCTGGTGCTGCAAGAAGAGATATTGCATTAAGGAGGTTCAAACTCAACCTTGTTGTCTCTGTAGCTAGCAGAATGGCTGGTTCCATTTGGCCTTTGGAATGCCCTCCCTTTGAAGAGGGTTGTCTCCCTTACCTGTCTGTCTGGAAGTGTTTTGTGTCCCAGCTGAACATGTCATTGTGCAATGCTTGGACTGAGGTGGGTGGTGAAGTCAGGTTCTTCTGTGCTAGGGAGTTTTACACCTGGTGTTCTTGCATCCCAGATTAAAAAGGCAGAAATGGACCGCAAGACGCTGGACTGGGAGATTGTAGAGCTCACTAATAAATTGCTTGATGCCAAAACCACCATCAATAAGCTGGAGGAACTCAATGTAAGTGTCAGTCTGCAGATGGCTGTGGAAGTGCGTGAGGCGGGGGCTTTTCCTTTTGTTCAAAGTCGTCAGTGGAAAGGAGCACATGAATTACTCCAGTGTGTATGAAAACATGGGAGCTGTACACAACAGTAGGGAGACAAACACACAAGGGTCTGAGGGGTTGAGCAGGGAAGAACTCATCTTCAAGTTTGATGTATTTGCTCTTCTGAGCTTAGGGTTTGACCCGAGTCCAGCTTGTACCAATGGAGGTGTCATTTACTCTAGAGCTGAGAGGGAGATGATGCCTTTTCTACACCATTAATAAAGAAATTCCTGAATCCAGTGCTTGATTCTATTAAATGCTCTCAACTCCCTTCAGTCTGTCTGCATCATCAGGCATGGCTGAGAGCTGTGGGATGGGATAGCAGATCTGGTGGGACTTTTGGAGATTATTAAAATCCCCAGAGGGAGAGTGGGTTGATACTCTGAGAGAGTATATGGTGGGAGCAAGGACTGGAGCTGAAAAGGACACCTTGGCTGAGTTGTAAGAAAATACACAGCGGTGTGGGGAGGGGAAAACGACAGGTGCCCTCATGATCGATTCATCAGATGTCTTCTCTGGCTTCTGTTCAAGCAGCATCTGGTCAGGTGGGTCTTTTTTGGGTAAGAGATCAGGTCCATCTAACACTGTTGCACACGTGTGCCCTCTCTTGCAGGAACGCTATCGACAGGACTGTAACCTTGCAGTACAGCTGCTCAAGTGTAACAAGTCTCACTTCAGGAACCACAAGTTTGCTGATGTGAGTAGCAATCTTGCTGAGGTGGGGAAGAAGGGCTGCATCTTACTTTCTCCAGCTTTCTCCACAGGGCTGCTGGCTTCTCATCCTTCAGCCTCAGAGGCGGGGGCAGGCTCCTGTTCCCACTCCCACTGAGAAGGCAGCACAGAGCTTCTGCCAGCTCCTCTTTCATGACAGCTCCATTTCACAGTTCAGCCAGGAGCTGTTATAAAAAGCACAATAACCTTGAATTTGATATCCTGCTGGGTGTGTGCTGGGAGCTGGCAGGACAGATCTCTCTCTTACCCTGCTCCATCCTTTTCCATGCCTCACCTGGCCACATGGAAGGGCCTCATAAGGAGTCAGGCAGCAGTAGTCTGACCTGGCTTCACTTACTACCCTGAGGGGAAATGTGTGAGGCAGCATTCAGGGTGTCTTATAGGCCTTCTGAATAGAAGTTCATGCCAACTTATACTCCCCCTTGTGGGGGGAATGGTATCGGGGAGGAGAGTTCAGCTCATCCTGCCCTCAGGAAGAGCAAAGATGGGGTTTAGGTCTCTCGCATTAGTAACATCGTTTGTTTGGCTGAAAGTATCATTCAAGCCCTTACCCCAGCTCTCTCCTTGCCACACCTCTTGTCTCTGTCCCTTCTTGTGTTCCTCTCAGCAAAACCACATGCTTGTCTTTTTTAACTTAGCAGGTGACCAATATGTCACCCTCCCCCATTGTGTCTCAAATTAGCACTCTTGAGGTCAGTGTATCAGTTACTGCTGGGGTAACCTTGACCTCTTTCCCAGCTGTCTCCCCTCTCTGGAGCTTTGAATTCTGCGCCCCATAGTGCTGTCTCCCATGTGACTGCCACTGGAGAGGTGTTGGTGCTGAGCAGCTGTGCAGGCAGCCTGCCTCACAGCCAGCTGTTGTCATGCTGTGTGCCCTGCATCCCCGGCTTTGGATGCAGTTTCCTTCTGGCTATAATGGGACAGACCTTGCTATGCCACTGAGTGGCCTGGGGACCTCTGCTCTCCAGCTGATGCTGTGCATGCACGTGGTGACCAAGGTGAGGGCAGCTTGGCAGGGTGGTGGGGAAAGCAGTAGTGCCCATTTTCAGGACAAGGGGTGGTGCTTACACCCTGGCGAGACCCCAGTCTTGCAACTTTGCTAATAAACCCCACATTTGCCTCTCTGAAATGGAGAGAGTGAGGAAGTGGGATGGCGTGGTGGAGTTGATTGGAACAAGGGAAAGCATCGATCCTGGTCTGCGGGCAGGCTGCCAGGGCAGCATGGCTGCAATTACGCATTCAGGGACCACTGCAGATCCCAGCACTGGGGGCTGTAGAGTCACTGCAGTGCAACCACCGGCTGATTTTCCACAGATCAATAGACTGCTTCCTATTGTGCACGGGCTGGGCCTTGTCTTTGCTCACAGCTGTGTGGGACTGAGCCCATGTGCCATCTTTTCTTGTTCTGTTTGCGAAATGGGGCCTGTGAACCACGGCCTAGAAGCATGACTGGTGTGACGGCTAGAGAGCCTTGGCAGTCCCTCATGGGGTTTGCTTTGAAAAGAGATACCTTTCTACAGGCAAGGTAGGTAAATGTTAGGGTCAAGATAAGGAGTACAAAGAACACACGAAGGTTGGTTGGAAAAGGCAGATTATTTGGAACTAAATGGTTTGCATGGCAGCCCCCTTCTAATGTCTTTTTCCTTTTCCCTAGCTTCCCTATGAGCTGCAGGACATGGTCAATAAGCATTTGCACAGCACTCAGGAGTCTGCAGGCCCTGGTCAAGAGGCAGCCCATACCTTGGCACCATCTGATGTTGTGCCCACCTCAGTCATCGCCAGAGTCTTGGAGAAACCAGAATCTCTGGTTCTGAATTCAGCCAAGTCTAGCAGTGGCAGCTGTCCCATGGCAGAGGATGTCTTTGTGCATGTGGACATGAGCGGAGCCCCTCCTGATGCCTCCAACAGCTCAGGGCAGATGGGAAAGGAGGGAGGAGATGCGGGAAAACAGCAGAATGGTGGCTGCAAGCCACAGAGTAGCATGGAAAGTGCACCTGAGGATGTGCCTGCCTTTGAGAAGCTAAGCCCATATCCTACTCCTTCGCCTCCCCATCCTATGTACCCAGGGCGCAAAGTGATTGAGTTCTCTGAGGACAAGGTAAGGATCCCAAAGAACAGTCCCCTGCCCAACTGCACGTACGCTACACGCCAGGCCATCTCCCTCAGCCTGGTGCAGAGTGAAGATGAGAGCTGTGACAGGCACCGGACGCTCCCCAGCAGCCCTGCTTCAGAGGGGCGCCGTTCAGCCTCCAGCTGTTCCTGTCAGCAGTCCCCCAAAGCAGCCAGAGCTCACGGATCTTCCCAGAGCAGCCCATTCAGCAGCCCTCCCCAAATCCCGAGCGCCTTTGCCAGCTCTGCCAGCTCCGAGGAGGACCTGCTGGCCAACTGGCAGCGTATGTTTGTGGACAAGGCACCCCCCACCTCAGAGCGAGTGCTGATGAACCGCACTGCTTTCAGCCGTGACACAGCCCCCGAGCTCCAGAAAAGGTTCAGCCGCTCCATGCAGGAGCTGGGTAGGGCAGCCTCGGCTTACTCAGATGGTGAGGAGTCCGCGCAGAGCTGCAGCTGGACCGTGAGCCGGGACTCGAGTGTGGACACAGACAGCACTGAGTCCAGAGCCCGCAGGAGCCATTTCTCCTCAGACTATGGTACAGATTTCTCCCAGGATGAAGCCCAGAAGCTGTTGCATGAAAGCGGTGGAGGCAGTGCTGAGCCCGAAAGCCCCTCACCAGAGAAGCACAAGGACTATGTGGACCTTGGCTTGCCTGAGAGCCCAGCTGAGGAGAGAGAAATACTGCTCCAGGGAAACAAGGAGAGCAACCAAGGAGGTGCCCAAGAGGAAAGTGGAGAAGGCAGGGTCAAGCCTCCCTTCAGTCGGGTGCATCGCAGCCCCAAGAGGATGGGTGTCCACCACTTACATCGTAAGGACAGTCTGACACAGGCCCAGGAGCAGGGCAACCTTCTCAGCTGAGGCAGAGCAAGAAGCAGCCACACGCTGCAGAGCTGTGAGATGCCTCCATCAGTCCACCTGAAGGAGAAACCTCCCTTAATACCCTCCTCCTGGAGGGAGTCTGCTCTGAAATTTTATATTTATTCTCTTCCTTTTGCTACCTGGAAGAGCTGAGGTCTCCCTTCCCTGGCACCTCAGACCCACAGTACTAGCACATGCAGTGTGCAGAAGCACACCCACTGGCCCCAATATGCTCATAGCTCTCTCCACAGCCTCACACTGGTGCCTGTACCAGAGCTAGTTCTTGGTACCCCTCCTCCTGGTGCCTGTGCCTCTTTACACTCTCATCCTCCTTCCCCCTTCCCACTCAGGTACCTGAGGCCCTGGGTGCTCTTGTGCTGGTTGCCCACAGCTGCTCTGCTCTCTTTTAACTTGTGCCAACAGGGCAGAGTGCCTGTGTGGTAGTGTCTGATTCCCTGGGAGCCCCAGGGGCCATGAGTGGGGCACAAGGACTCTCCCAGCAGATGGCTGTGTGCCGTGGGGATGTGCTGGGATTGCTGGTGTCTCATTTTTCTGCTGGTTTTTGTTTTCCCCAGCTACCCATGGGGTGGTTCTCCAGAATCTGCCTCTGAAGATTTCCAGCATTGGGCTCAGCACCTGGTCCCCACAGAGGCAGCGGATGGGTGCTGCCTGCTGAGGTGGTTCGGGGAGGCATTGCCTGCTGGGTGCTGGGGTTTGTGTTTGTGTGTCTCCTCCCTCACACCTCTTCCCCTGCTATCTGTGCTGTTGTTTTGTTTGAACAGTGCTGATTCTTTGCTCTTGGGTGGGCTTCTTTCTTCTTTCCAAGCCTTTGGTTTTGGGGTGTATTGTTTTTTCGTTCTCCCCACCCCGCATAAACAGACACAGCCGTTGGCAGCCGGTCTGATGCCTGCATTGAGGGTGTGTTGAGGAGGCTCAGCTATCAGAGCTGCGCTTCCCTCTGATCCTGGCCTCCAGCCTGCAGAAACCCCTCCAGACTCAAGAACAAGGTCTTGCCCCAGGCAAGTAAGGCATGAAGGGTGGTACCGGCTTTTCTGGGCAGGGCTTGGTGCAGGGCCAGCAGGGATGCGAGGGCAGCATGCTGAGGAGCTGCTCCCTGTAGATGCACTACCTCATGGCTCGGCAGTAACCCTTTGCCATGGTCTCCTTGCACGCCCCCTTCTCTGGGGGCTGCAGGCTGGCTCTGGTGCCTCTCTGGAGTCTTCCCTTCTGGGTGGGGCTCTCTGGGTGTTTTTCCTAGCGTAGTGTGATATTGTGTGACTCTTCTTCTCAGTCTTGTGTGCTCAGTGTCTTCTTGGGGGGGGGGGAAGGGGAGATGTCTGTAGATGTAGGTGTTTTTTTGAGGGCTTACAGAGCCCAGGCCTCCTGTTTTAATTTTGTCCTGTGCTCTTGTCTTTCTGGCGTTTCACTGCTCCCCTGGGAGTGCGAGGCAGAGAACAGCCCAGTTCCCTGCACCACACCCCCTTCAAACCCCACCGTTGGCCCTCAGTCTGCTGTCTGCTTTTTGAGTTGGGTTTGTGTTGTCCTCCCACCCTACACAATGAGGGCTCTTCACTGGGCTGGAGGAGAGCACCCCTCTCTCCATGAGGGAGCTTCTGTTCATATGCTTACATCGAGATGTACAGCTGAGAGCTGCCTGGGGGCCCTGCTCCTCTCCCCAAACCCCTGTCTCTGCAAAGGGCTTGCAGCTTGCAGCTGGGGCCAGCCAGGGCTTCAGCTTGAGCCTGGAGGCTCCATGGCCAGTGAAAGGGAGCTGCAGGCCTCTCTGGCAGCTGTGTAGGCTGCTTTATGTACCCTGGCTAGAGCTGCTGCCTACACACTCACCTTGTTTCCCGCCTCGAACAGTTGTGGAGCTGGATGCCACCCTCTGGTGGGGAGGTGGGACTCAGTATTTCACTCCAGTATTTTTCTTGGTCCCTGTGCAGACAGGCTGGTGCTGAGAGCGGGAGTCTCCCCTGTCCCAGTCGTGGTGGCAGGGTCCTTGTGTTAGCTGTCATCAGCTGCTCCACTGCCGCATTTCTTCTGTTCTGCAGCGTTGCTGAGAGTTTGCACCTGCAGCAGCTGCCAGATCCTGCCTCATGGATGTCACTTGGGATTGGATGCTCACTGAGCAAGCTGCTCCAGCTCTGAGGCTGCTGGTGGCCTGCAGTGGGGGAGGCATTGGCCCTCAGGGCTCAGCCCCATCTCCCCTGAATCCTGGCATGCTGGTCAGGGGACAAAACCCTCTCTTACTGAGGCAGCTGGTGCTGATGGTGCTGGGCAGAGCCCGCCTCCCTCTGCTTTTGGTCAAGGTAGACTGAAAAGCAGAATAGTGGAGGGGTGGCAAGAGTGCCCAGAGCCTCACCAGACACCCGTGCTTTGCAGCATTAGGCTGCTGGCAGAGGTTGAGGGGAAGCGGTGGCCTCAAGGAGCAGAGCCTTCTCCCCATGGGCACGGTGACCTCTGCATTCCTGGCCATCTCCAGCAGTATTGGCTCTGGGGCCTTGAGCTCATCCCACTTCCAGTGTCCCAACTCCAGACTGTTAATCTGTAACTAATGTGTTTTTTCTGAGATTTTCAAACTGATGTATATTTTAAGACCAGAAATAAACTATTTTAAAAGTAGATGGCAATGGCTGTAGTGTTCTTGATGCTGCTTAAAACCTGGGCTGAGCATGTGAAGGAGCAGAGCTGCTTAGGGTACAGTGTCCCAAGTTTGTTGAACTGTGTGTGCCACCCATTAGCTCTCAGAGGGAGAGTGATCCTGTGACCTGTAAACAGCCCTCAGTGTTACTGGTAAGATTCTGCCTACCCCGTTTCAAGTATTTTGCTAACTGTCCTGGCTGTGTCTTGGCAGACCCTCCACCTGCTGATCTAGAGTAGGATGAGGTGTAGCTCAATCCTTTTAATTCTTAAAGCCCCAGCTCTTGGAATCAGCTGAGAGTATAAGTTCTCCACTTCAAAACTGAGTTATGTGGAACCATGTAACATACCGCCTTGCTGCAGTTCCTAAGGGGGTTCTAATTCTAAAGGCAGTATTTTGTGTGGGGAGGATTGAGGTTGATTGGACATACCTCAGGCAGGAAGTTGTCCAAATATGAGACAGCGAGTTCCTGCAGGATGCTGTTATGGACGCTTGGAAGTGCTTCCTTTTTGCGTTGAATGGTGCTGCAGAGGTCAGAGGGCTCTGATGAATTTTCTTCCATCTCCCACATTATGCTGTGCCTTTCTGACCTTCATGTATGCAAAGCGTAACAGGGGAAGAGTTTCTTGTTTCTTTGTTCACATAATTAATGATATTATTCCTTGTTCCCCTGAGTAGCAGCTGCGGCCACAATTTGATCTTCTAGCCTAATCTGAGCCTCGAAACACGATCTTCCTTGTCTGCCCCAGCAAGGGACGCTTGGCCGAGCAGCACAACCCGCAGTGCTGGTGCGGTCGGTGAAGCCTTCACCAGAGGCTGCGCGGCTGGTGCCAAGCTCCCCGCAGAGCCGGCCTAGCCCAGCCCGCTACCTCCTGGGCCGAGGGAGGGCCCGGGGGGCAGAAAGCTGGGCTGTCCGCCGAGCTCTCCCCAGGCCCGGGCCTGCGGAGGGGCCTCGGCAGGCGGGGAGGGCCCGCAAAGAGCGGGGTGAGAGGCTGCCGCCCCCTGCCGGCGCTCCGGCCCCGCAGTGCCTGCCTGCGCCGCTCCCTGCCCGCACCTAGCGGCTCCTGCCCGCACCTACCGGCTCCTGCCCGCCCCTGCCGATACCTACCGGCTCCTGCCCGCCCCTGCCGATACCTGCCGGCCCTTGCCGGCCCCCGCCTCCCCGGGCTCGCACAGTGACGACGCACTCGGACGCTGCCACGAGTGGTGCCACCACGTCTGTGACCTTTATAAAACTCTCATCGCGACAGCAGTAGAAGCGATAGAAAGGACATCTCTTATACACATCTGAATAAATACAGCCTGCACCCTGCGGGCACAGCCGGGCGTGGGGGGGAGCGGCGTGAGCTACACACATGCGGCGACGGGACAATCACAAGCGGCCGACTGGGCGTGTGACAACACAGAGACGTGTGTAGAGATTTGCTCGGAGCAGGCTCCAGAGAGCCGAGTGAGGCGCCGACAGGAGGTGAAATGTGTGAGAAGTGGGCTGGGGAGCCCAGCGGAGGCAGGGGGCCGGCGGGCACACGCTGTCCCCGTGGGCACGGTGCTCTTCTCGGCAGAAGCAGGCAGGGTAGCCCAGCTACATCTCCGTTTCTGCTAAGAGGCTGTCACCGAGACCTGACGTCATCAGGACCATCTGGGAGCTGGAATCTGTGTCGAGAGAGGGAGAAAACCATGAGCCGTTCGGGCTGCCAGAGAGCACAGGGCTGTACTCCAGATTCCAGAGGTGAGGGATGAGGAATTAGAGCATTGCAGGGTGGGAGGAGAACTGCTGAGAGAAGTGTGAGATTAAGTAGTCTGGCCATGCAGCAGAACAGAATCGATGCTTGGAGAGGGGGAGAAAGCAGAGACAGCAGCAAGAGTACAAAGGAACATCAGCTCTGAACCCTCCCCACATGTAGAAGATATTGCTTGTGCTGGCCCAGCCGTGCCCTTACCCAGCCCTGCACTCACCAAGTGCTTTTTGGTTAGAGAGAGTGTCCAGGTGGGATGGGCAAGCCAGCCAAGCCCACATAAGGTGGTGGTGCTGCCTTCCCAAGAGCAGGGAACACAGCGGGCAATCAGCCATGTTACAGCAGCAGAGGCCTGGAAATTCTGGCTTTCTGCACGGCATGAATGGAGGGTTTATGCAGCCCTTCCCTGCCTGCCTCGGGGAGGTGAGGGCAGCTTGCTGGCTCTGTGATGGCACAGAGCACCAGCCAGGAACACTGTGACTCTCCCCACACCGAGTGAATCAGATGCAAGGAGGATGGGCATGCATAGCAAGTAAGAAACTCAGCAGGATACCAGTCTCCCAACTAGAAGCATTTTTAAACAGAAAAAAAAACCCCCTGTGGTTTGTTTTTTGTTTTTTGGGTTTTTTTTTGATAGGAACGAGAAGATCTTCAGTGGCAGTCCTGCACATTCAAAACTGCTGCATGGGATCTCTGTTTCGGGGATCCATTTTTGGAAACTGGATCCAAAACTTGGACAAAACTGTCACTAAATTATTTTTATGGCTTTTACAAATGAGGATCCAGATGTTTTCATCTGGTTGTGCTTGTTTCCTTCTAGTGTGATATGAGAATTGTGAGGGGGAAAGGACAACTGAAGGTAAAAAACAACCCCTCAAAAGAGCTGGATCATAAGGTAGGAGTGTCAATATATAATATCATATATACAAACCATACTGAACAGGCTACTGCTATCTCCATAATTTACCTTTTTTCTATTACAGGGAACAGACAGGCTGTGGCACCTGGCTAACCCTTCACAGGTTTGGGACACAGAGATAGGAACAGCTGATGCTGTGCAGATTGCAGGGAGGTTCTGGAAGCAGTGAGGAATGACACAAGTTTTGGCTAGCGTATCTGGCAAAGGCCCCTGAGATTTTAATGCTCCTGCCCTTGAGTTTTAAGACTTTGCATAAAGATTTCGTTCCTGCAGCATCAGGAAAAACGCCTCAGAGGTACCGTTTCCACTCTTTCCAGCAGCTGCATTGTCCTTGGAGGCTGCCTTTCCAAGAGCGGCTCAGCCCAACGCTATTTAGCGTGAAGGTCACGCCTGGAGGTTGTATGTATTCCAGTTCACGGGGGGAAAAGGACAGATCCCATTCACCAACCCCACCACAAGAGACCAGTGGCACTGGAAACACCCCAGACACTCCAATTCCTGCCTGTCAGCTCCTGCCCGCAGCCCAGCTCCCAGAGCTCTTACTGTTCTGGCAGATCCAGGGGTTCTTCTCCCTGGCTGTGACTTCGTGAGCCTCCGTCTCCTCCTCTTCCTCACCCTCTGAGAGAAGGTCAGAGATCTGCTGCTGCAGCTCGGGACTAATGTTGTTCTCCGCCAGGATGAGTGTCCGTAGGGCTGTGGGGTAGTTCTCTACCATATCCAGCAAGGTCTGGGTGCAGAGTGAGATAAACACGCTGACAAGCAGCACAAACAGCAGCGAGGCTGAGCAGAAAGAGCATCAGTGCTCTGTGTCCCTGCAAACTCCAGCTCTCCTCTTCTTACCTTTACCTTCTCTTGGCCTTGACCTCCCTTCATCAGGCTTTATGAGAGACTGAGGACTTCCCATCTTTCTGTGGGAAAAGCTGAGCTTGGATTTCCTGGCTCTATCTAAAGAAGAAGCGACTGCTCTACATCCTGTTGCTACCAAATATCCAGGCTCATTCCCTCTAACCACTGGGACCTGGGGTTCTGAGAGGAGAGCCTGTGCTACTGAGCCTTGGCCCCTATATGTCCACAGAGCTTTAGCTCTGATCCTCAGTCAAAAATCCAACCCCTTACTTCTTCCAAGAAAACAGCCAGGGGAAAGCAAGAACACCCCTAGGCGCAGGGAGGAAAGGGGGCGCATGTAGACTCGGGGCAGAGGGTGGAGGCAGGTGTAGGTCCTAAGGCCTCTACAGACATCCCTGTCCTGTGCCATTGAGATGTCAGTGATGCTGCAGAGAAACTGTGGGCTCTCATACCTGGGCTGACTGGTTGGTAAGTCCTGTTCCCTCCAAGTCCAGAACTTCGAGGGTTCGACTGGAGGCCACAGCGACGGCGAGCATCCCTGCCACCTGGTCACCTGTGGAAGAAGCAAACCAAGGCTGTCAATAATGCCTGCCTTTCCTCATGTAATACCACATGCCCTTGTGGAAACTTCCTCTGAGTATATCTGCCATCAGACAACCTCCAAACCTGTTCCTCAGGGAGAAAAAAAGCTGTTAACTAAGAAAAGAGACAAGGAAAGGTGCACCATTTTGTGGTTATGGGAACAATCACTGATTGTCAGTGAACGTTGGGGAACAAGAAGGAACACAGTGAAACTGGATTTGTTCCCAAAGGAACCAAATTTTTCCAAATCTCCTTCCTACACAAGGATGCAAGGGCCTTTAAGAGTCCCTGTAAGGCATCACAGCCACAGAATAGGAGCTAAAGATTTCAGTAGAGGGCTGGAGCCAGACAGAGGACGCTGCACCAGATGAAGGACTGCCTCCCTGGAAAGGGGGTAAACTTTTGGACACAGCAGGACAAGGAGCATTAAAGATTGATGTTGGTGAAGAGACAAGACTCCAGTCTTGTCTTCTCCTGCCATTCTCTGCTGAGTGCCAAGATGCCATACAACCTTCTCTTGGAGCAAAACCCAGAGTGCTGTCAGGTAACACCCTTGGAGCCTTTCCTGCCCAAGAGGAGGTACTTGGTCAGACAGAGGGCCTGGAGGGAGGCTCTGTTTGCAGGCAGGGTGAGAAGGGGAGTGCCCTGCTCATGCTCAGGGAGGCATGGCCTGATCTCCTCCTCACCACCTTGCAGCAGAGCTGGAGAGAGTTTGTTTCTATGGCAACGAGTGCCAGGCTCTCCTCCTCCTCCTCCTCCCTGCTCCTCCAGGAAAATGAAGGGGGGAGCGCGGGGACATACTGCATCTGCCAAGCCAGCTTCGGCGCCCAGTTCTTCAGGAAAAAGGGAGACACGGAGGGTCAAACATGACAACAAAGGTAATGGAGTGGGCAAGGCA